AGACAAGCTTTGTTTTTGATCGTAATTCTATTCAATTCTCGCCAATCGCACACCATTCTCAGAGTACCATCCGACTTTTTCACAAAAAACACAGGTGCACCGTATGGCGACTTACTTGGCTCAATGAATCCCTTCTCAAGTAATTCTGATAGCTGTGACTGGAGCTCGTCCATCTCTGGTTTCGGCAGGCGGTAGGCGGGTCGAGACGGTGGTCTGGCTCCATCTTCTATCTGGATTTCATGGTCGACTGGTCTCTTCGGTGGAAGCTCATTCGGCAGCTCGTCTGGAAATAAATCCTGGTACCTCTTGAGCAGGTTCTGGATGTCTTGTTGCTCTGATTCCTGGAGTTGTGGCCCGGAACGATTCTCCTCGTTTGCAGCAGTGACCCATGCAAGAAACCCCTCGGCTCCACTCCTCAGGGCATGACGAGCTTGTCGGCCACTGATAAACATGCTTTCCACAGATGGCCGGTCGGCTGTCGGCGGGTTAGCTGAAGGCAATTTGGCAACAAAGGGCTCACCGTCCAACTGAACTTCGTTCGTACGGAAGTTGATGCTGGGGTTGTTCCTTGTAAGCCACGGCTTGCCAAGAATAGCGTCGTAGCGAGTCAGGGGATACACAGTAAAGTGTTGTTCCTCACTGAAGCCCCCGACTGTCACCCTTAGCGTGCGTGTGGAAATCTGCGGAACCTCGCTGGTCGAGCCGTCCGCCAATGTTACGCTCAGCACTGCTGAGCTTGCATCCGTGTCAAGATGATGCTTTCGAACAAAACTGTCTGCAATGAAGTCATGCGTCGAACCGGAATCTATCAGCATCACTGCACGGCGACCGCCGATCTTTCCCTGTATGCGCAGTAGGTCGTGTTCAGGTTCATTGCCGACGCTGACGTTGCTGACATGACACCTTTCTGCAACGGGACAATTTTCTACAGCTATGGGTGTCTCCGGCTCCGTAGGTTCCTGGAGAGCAACGTCTTCAACCTCCAGAGCTCCGAACCGGTTAGCGACTGGTACCGGCGTGGGCGCTTGGGTCGTCGCCAGTAAGCGCACCCCCTTTCTTACTGGCGACCAGCGTTTGGGTAGCGCTGTCCACCCTCAGTACAGTCTTTAGCGAGGTGGCCTGGCTTCCTGCAAGCAAAGCAGTGTCCCATTGCTCGCAGTTGGACACGCTCTTGGTCCGTCAGCTTGCGGAGGCCCTGACCACGGAAGCTGGGCACGGAACGCGACTCTCTACTGGCTGGTGGCCCCGACGCCGGTGGCCCTGACGACTGCTCCACGGTGTTTGCTGCCATGACAGCTTGCTCCAGGGTACGTGGATGCTCACGCATGACCTGTCGCTGGATGTGCGGCACTAGACCCCTGACGAACAGCAGCGCTCTGGTGTGGTGGTCGATTTCCGGCACTTGCAGGCTGAGGCGAGTGAAAGCAGCAATGTATGCGTCCAGCGACCCGCGCTGCGCTGCGGAAATTAGTCCCATACGCGATGTTTCCTCGTTGTGCCGTGCTCTATATGCTCTATAACATTCAGTTGAATGCCATAGAGCATACCCTAGAGATTAATCCAGACTTAGCGCAGTTAATTGTCAGCGGTTACAAGTGCGACAAGGATCTTGCTCCCATTATCAGGAGACTGAAAAATTCAAGCCATGACAATCTGCACGACCGTTACCTTCTAAATGAAACACCCGGTTATCTTTATTTCAGATCTTCACCACAGAACAGGTTATGCATTCCAAAGAGTAGCAAACTCCGACTCGCCCTGCTTCAAGAATACCATGACTGTGTGACTGCGGGGCATCCCGGTCGAGATCGCACCTATTTCAGACTCGCTAGATATTTCTATTGGCCCAGAATGGGACTGGATGTAAAGGCGTTTGTCAAGTCATGTGACGTCTGCCAACGAGTTAAAGGTGGCCAGCTAAAAACTGGTCTCTTGCAGAATTTACCAGTGCCCAGTCAGCCGTGGGCGGATATCTCGATGGATTTTATCATGGGTTTGCCTAGGACCGATACAGATCATGATGCTATATATGTATTTGTAGACCGCTTGACAAAGTGTGTACATTTAGCACCTACTTCCTCTACTATTGACGCTAAAGGAAGTGCTGATCTGTATATTCAACATGTATTTCGACTTCATGGTTTGAGTTCTAGTATTGTATGTGATCGTGATCCAAGATTTACGGCAGCATTTTTTCAGGAATTGTTTGATCGCTTAGGAACGAAACTAGCATTTAGTACTGCCAATCACCCTCAGACAGATGGCCTAACTGAACGAGTAAACAGAATAGTAGAGGATGTGCTGAGGGCTTTTGTAAATCATAAACAAGATAACTGGGATATGCTCCTACCTCTCTGTGAGTTTTCTATCAACAGCGCTACTCAATCATCTACAGGAAACACACCGTTCTTCTTAAATTACGGTCTAAATCCCAGAGCGCCACCCGACTTCCTCAACCCTATTCAGGGAGGCAGAGATTCAGCTGATTGGTTGCAAGCAAGACAAGACGCGGTCAAGATCTCACAAGATGCGCTAGTGGCAGCTCAAGCTCGTCAGGCCTTCTATGCAGATCGGACAAGGGTCGAGGGAAAGCTGAAGGTGGGAGATTTGGTAATGGTCTACCAGGAGCAGAAGTGATCACTTGTTGTCCACCTCTTGCGGTCCATTTCCAGCCGGACCTGGTTTTTCATCTTAATGCCATAGCGGTTCCTGAACGAGTAATACCAAGCATACGTTACTTGCTTGTCCTTGAACAAGTCAGCTAGCTCAGTTCCTTTGATGAGGTGGTTAGCTGCACCAACTATCAGCGACTTGCCTGCCTTTAGGTTCAGAGCACGTAATTTCTGTACGAACTCCACAAGTTAGACTTCATATCGCATTGGCAACTTCGCTCTCTGGCCAGTTCTGCATGGTGTCTGGACATTCACGACGGTAACATCAGGTTCCAGCAAGGCCTCATATTCTCTCAACTTCAGGTGAAGTGTCGTGTCAGACACTTTGATGTTCATCAAGGCTAAGATGCTCTGCGCCCATCCTTCCGCAGATTGCCCGTGTGCATTGACTCCACGGCCCATTTCACGCCCTCACGATACATGCCCACCAATCCATGTGTCCCATACTTGACATTGTCACCAGGACGTGTGCATTTGGCTTTGATGGCAGCCTCCACTGTTGCCATGTCAAACTCTATGCCACCAGGTGCAGATGGTGTGGTCACTGAACCATTGTCGTGAACATCTGGCAGAGGTGGAGGAGGAAGGTGCCAACTCTTAATGTTTGACAACACGCCAGACACCTCCAGTTCCTTCTCTATATGTCGGAACATCTGTCGACTCACGTCAAATGCATTTGCCGCAGCGGCCTTCGAACGAAATGCACTGTTCGTTACAGGAGAATAGAATGCTCTGACAGCGAACGTTGCTCGCTTGCTAGCTGAATCTGTGCTGGGTTCATCCGGCTCAATATTTGATGCCATATCTGTATCAGAAGTCGTTTTATGGCTTTCTTCTCCATTAGCAGATCCAGTGCTGTCGCTACTACTGCTATTACATGAACTTTCTGGGCCTGGTTCGGCAGGCTCCTCACAAACGGGATCCATAAAAGGGCGATTTTACATTATTTCTGCTACTGAAGCGATCGCGAAGAGCAACAAACTGCTCTAAAATAAAGACAAACCTAGTCTTCTTGAACAAAACACATGCTGGGAAAGGAAGATGAAGACCGAGGGAAGTCTCTCACTGTGCTATATTTGGAATATTGTACCGCATGCATTGGATATGTACGAGACGGTTTGCTGATTTTACGCATTTGCTTAGAAACGAAAAATGCTTAGAAATGCATAATCACCTCGTACTAGTAGTAGAGAAGAGATCTCGTGTCGTGAGTGACTTGCACGTACACGTATGATTGTAGTGCTTGTTTGACATTCTAGTATAGAAATTGGTCCCATGAGGCTGCTGGCCTGGCCCTCCAGAACTGACTACTTATATACATGTACATGTACATGTATATGCGCACCAGACCATAACGACGGTGACAGGTATGAATAGTCGCACTGTCACAAACTGACTTGTCAGGGGAGAGCTAGAGGCTAGAGCAGTAGAGGCAAGATGATGGCGGCGTGGATCAATACTAGTACAGGTGGAATCATGATAATTGGAATACATGTATGGCTTAAATCGAACATACCGCTTAATTCGAATACATGTATGGCTTAATTCGAACATATCGCTTAATTCGAATACATGTATGGCTTAATTCGAACATACCGCTTAATTAGAAGTTTTTCCAGGACAGATTTCTATCAGTACGATTCCCACATAAGAAATTCTGATAATTCGAACCTCGAACAGGACATGTCCGGTTAATTAGAAGTCCCACAGATTCCAATTACATGTACATGTACATAGAAAATGTGTGTGTGATTTGTGCTGATAATTCGAAGTTAGCAAAGTGTAATTCGAAGTTCACTGTACAAAGCTCTTGCCGTTCTTAAAAGAAGGTCGAACGTTAAGGGACGATAATGAAGTTCTTTGTTGCGCTTCCCTTCCCTTCATTGGAACTTTCCCCACCTGAGCCTTCCAAGTTGGAAGGTTGTTTGCGCTTCGTAGATGTGTTGGAACTAGGTGTCACGTCGTCGAATGTCTCAATATCCTAATATGTGTTGTGTCTTGTTGTCGCACTATCTGACTGTATAATTATGATCTCGCTACCCTGGTGGACTGTTTTACATCATAACTAATAACTTATGGGTCCTTTTTCTCTCTTACATACTATGGGCTCAACATTCGAGTCTATATTATTATTACATTGAGCAGAGGCAGTGCGTCTGATCAGATGTTGCCTGGTGATTTGTCTTTGCCATGAAACTCTGAGTAACAACGAAAAAGCCCTACATTTTATTTTACTTCCGTTTGCGTGCCTCATGAGTATTGTAACACTGTATGGTGGGTCTCTTTCCCTCAAAACCAGTTAGTTTGGTGTTCTGTTGTTTATTGTAGTTTCTATTGTGCAGGTTTAGTGAACATGACCACGGAAATTGGCCTCAGCGATACGCGCACTCCTTTCGAAGCAAGAGTCACAGCTCTTATAGAGAGGAACAATCGCCTGGAGAAGCGATTCGCCCAGGACAGTGAGCTGATCGTGCTCCTGTGTCGGGAGAACATGGAGAAAGATGCCGTCATCGGACAGCTGCTTGATCGCCAAGGGACACGATATCTATCCTACGGTCTCCGGACAGGTATGACAAACCGCATATACTGTCTACCAGGGAGCACTAATGTTTTAGTACTCGAAACTATTATTTGAAAGAACCCGAAGTTAAAATTGCAAAAAAGAAGCAAAGCAAGTTGGTATTCCCTGGTGTACACTAGCTCCAGAGGCACTGTTTAATGTTCTGTAGTTATCTGTATTGTTGATTGTTCACAGCACAGTATAACCTGTCGAGGCGACCACCTGTCCTAAAAGACCACAGAAACCAGGACCAATGGATGATATTTCCAGTCAAATGACCCTGGATAAGGAGATGACCTGGTAACAGGGACCACGTTTCGAAGCCGAAGGTACCTTGAGCGGTCGTCTTAGACAGGTTTTACTGTATGTCCATGACATTGTACATGTTCTATGGAGAACTGTCGGTGCATGGAAAAACGGTCGTTAAGATCAGGTGGTTGCTAATACGAGAGGTCGCTGACCCAAGGTTTTGCTGTATTTAGTATTCACACTGTACGCGTATGTCAGGATTGCTGAAAGGCCTTTAGAGGAGTGTCCATATGAATTACGCATCGATTCGTTCTTTAGAAAGTTAGTTTTAGCCCTACTTACAGTAAGGAGTCGGTCACTGTGTGTGTGTATGTGTGGTATGAGGTGTGTGTGTGTGTGTGTGTGTGTGTGTGTGTGTGTGTGTGTGTGTGTGTGTGTGTGTGTAGCACAAGTTGCTATGGCTTCTGCTGTAGCATCGCTATCATCGCCTCCGGCGATGGGCGTTCAATGGTCCAATGGTCCAATGGTGTGTGTGGTATGTGCAGCGATTTCCAACCGATAGGTTGCGGGTTCGATTCCCGACGATTATGGTCACACACGTCTTTCTTCTCTTTCTCAGACTCTTCCTGACTTTTCTTTCATTCTTCTGGGTGGTTACCAACAGCCAGTGCATGCCTGAGTATGTGATGTGATGTGTGTGCGGGAAAAATAAACAAAAATACCAAAAAGTAGGGATTCACTGGCCAGAAAAAGCCACTTCATAGCTGTGTGGTGTGGACCAGGCTGAATAGTGGCGGCCAATTATTCAGCCTTGCAAGCTGATGAATGGTGCAATCCCAGCACAAGTTGCTATGCCTTCTGCTGTAGCATCGCTATCATCGCCTCCAGCGATGGGCGTCCAATGGTCCAATGGTGTGTGTGTGTGTGTGTGTGCTATAAGAGAAAATCTGTGGGGGCACATCCAGTGCATTTGCAGATTTGTGTGAGCTCTTGCAACGGGTGTATACATGGTACATGGCGCGCGCGCGCCTGTGTGCGTGTGTGTGTGTGTGTGTGTGTGTGTGTGTGTGTGTGTGTGTGTGTGTGTTTACAGGTCCACTCATAGCTGAGTGCACGGAGTCTCCTGAAACGCATCAAGCACCAGTGTGCTATGCTCTGCATTCAACACCGATGGAAAAGCATCCTGATGAATCTACATCTCCGCCTGGGCCACTACTTCCCGTACAGGAGACATCTGTGAAGCCAGGCTACGGCTAGCAACCTGTAACACTCTCAGCATACATGTACATGTACATTGTACATTATCCTGGAGTTAATGTTCAGTATGGTATATTGTACATTATCCTGGAGTGAATGTTCAGTATGGTATATTGTACATTATCCTGGAGTGAATGTTCAGTATGGTATATTGTACATTATCCTGGAGTGAATGTTCAGTATGGTATATTGTACGAGTTACATGTACAATGTGCAAGTACAAAGTCATGTTCCTGTATGTATGCACATGTACATGTACATGTACAGTATATGTTCGCAGCGGAAAATTTATAATCTTCAGTTTCTTTTCCCTTTGGCCCATTTCTTTTTTTTGAAGACGATTATTAAGATGTACATGTATAATGTAGATTAGTTTAGGTATCCTTGCTGCATCGCTAGATTAGAGTTCACTTTATCGCTGACAGATCAAACCCACTGCAAGCCCCTTCCCGCAAGCGCGTAAACACACGCACACACATATACATACACACACCACACAAAAACACACACACAGACACACACACAGACGCACACACACACACACCACACAAAAACACACACACACAAAAACACACACACGCACACACTCACACACACAAACACACACATACATGTACATGTGTAATGGGTAGCCGAGTGGTAGGCGCGGTGCAATTAACAAGAATTACTTTTATTCTACTTTCAGGTACACACCTGAGATATAATCGTTATTGCAAGAAGAAGCGGCAAAATAAATAACTTTCTCTCCGGTGCTCACCTAGAGGCTGAATCCTTATTCTTCGAGTTAGCTTTCATTGCTATCCAATCTAATCTAATCTTTTCTTCATCAAAACAGAAATGCTCAGCCGCTTTTATGCAGCAGACGCCGTACGCTTACATACGGAGATACACTAAATATATGTTGGACTCAGTAGAGCGTCCAGCCCCTATATGATGTCCAACCCCTATATAGAGTCCATTGGTCCAAAATCCACTGTACAGAGTCCAAACTTGGAATCAACTGTGAGCTCAAAGTTTCGATGGACATCACTCCCTGTATAGAGTCCAGCCAATTGGCTTCACCCCTATATAGAGTCCATTGGTCCAAAATCAACTGTAAGGAGTCCAAACTTTGAAATCAACTATAAAGAGTCTTTATGTGGACAACACCCCTGTATAAAGTCTAGCCAATTAGGCATCCCCTATCGAGTTCGAAAATAGACATAGGATCTGCTGTAAGCAGTGAACATTAACCAGAAAACGGCCTCTCCTTTTAATCCTTTACATCATTCACTTCTCAAGATAAAAAATTTGTATTGAGGCGCCACTGCAGCCACTTCATTACATGAAAAACCCTACAAACACCATCCTCAAATCGAGTGGTCTCTTCGCAGACGCTGCAAATTACAATATCTCAATCATGTAGTGTTGCCAAATCATTGTGCACGCACACACACATGCACACACCCACACAACGCCAAGAAAATACCTAGAAAAAAACCAAGAATCGAAAGAGAATAATGGAGAGCCCATGATTAATTATTTGTTTTCAAATTATTGTGCGTGCGCGCGCACACACACACACACACACATACACACACACACACACACACACACACACTTATACAACGCCAAGAAAACACCAAGAAAAGAGTGGAGACACAATACACACGCAACTCCAACAGCCATGCAAACGTCCACCCATTTACATGTAAAGTCAAGAGGGATAACAAAATAATTATACGAAACGAATGCGTACGGGAACGGGTACACGCACGTTTACATACAAAGAGTAGTGTAAGAGAGTAACATAGTGCAGGGATCAGCATAATACTAGCACATGCTGAGAGTGCAATAGCAAGCTTCACCATTGCTCATGGCCATGCAAATGTTCAGCAGCACTCAGTTCCGCAAGCTTCTGAAGATCAGCACACCTGCAACAAATAGATAGCACAAGGATACGCTTATTACCGTAATGATGCATGGGAGCACACAACTACCAAGTTCTCAACGAATGTGATGCTCAATGAAAATCAATCCACTCAAAGACCTGTGAACAGGTGATGGTGGGGACAATAATCTATTAGTAATACGAGGAATAAGATCGTTTGTGCACACTCAAGACGCACAGACACACCAACATACATGTAGTGTACACAGTGTTTCACTTCACTGCAACTAAATTGAAATGAGATGATTTGAACAATCTGTACAGCGTTGCTGTCAGTCAGTATTCCCCAAGATGGAAATGCAATGATTTTTTGTCACGAGGCAGTTTCACTGACACAATGTCATGTTCGTGACATCAAAACGGTTACTTCAGGGAATACGAGTATTAGCTTGAGAAGCTTTTTCTTGTCATTGGCATACAAGCAATCCTCCTAGTCCTACTACTACTAGTACACTGGCACTGCGTTTGTGGATCCCATTGTATTTGACATCATACTACAGGAAGAGTGTCGTGGAGTTCACATAATTATCACAGGGATAAAAATACATTTCTCATGAAATAAAAATTGATGATAGCTAGACGATCATAATTATGATTGATGCAAAGTCCTTGCAGTCCTTGAGGACTATTACGAAGTGGTTGATTACTTTTAGGGCATTCATTCAAGCAACATCAAACAAACGCGATACGCTCCTTGAAAATGGAAAAAAAATTCAAGCATAACGACAGAACAGCAGACCAATCGAAACGAGTAAAAGCTTCCTTACCTCAGTCATCGTCCTGCCATGTAGCTGGACAGCCTTTTGCACCGTGGTACAGGCAGCTCTTGTCCAGTCAAACAGGGGTATCCTTGTGGCGTCGAACGAAAGAGAGTGTCAGTGTATCTGACTCGTCAGATGGCAACTGTGCTGAACTTTTCTCTTTCTCCGCTTTCTGCTTTCATTCCTCGCTCTGATGAAACCGTTCAAACTTCTTACTGGCAGCAATGGCCAGCCAAACAGGGGATCCTTGTGGCGTCGAACGAAAGAGAGCGTCAGTGTACCTGACTCGTCAGATTTGAACTGTGCTAAACTTTTCTCGTTCTGCAATTTCTGCTTTCATCCCGCGCACTGATGAAACGTCTTCAGAGAACCACAAGACGCTTTCCAGATTTGATTTTGAACGTCTCCTTATCCTCCTTGGTTAACTCGAGACAGATTACTGTCAGCAACTGCACAGCAGAATTGGCAGCCATGGCTGAAGTGAAGAAAGGAATGCGCTGCCACGAGGCAAGCAAAACTGAAAATGTGTTCTCTTTCGGGGCACAACACACAGGACGGCGTGACTGGATAAACTGGACTCCTGGACCGTGAATAGGGGACTTGTAGAAAAAGTGTACTCCTTATAGGGGATTGCGCGGCAGGATGAAGCTGATCAAATCTGAGTGGACTCCTGGACTCTGTATAGTGGATTTTGGACCAATGGACTCTATATAGGGTGCTGGACATCATATAGTGCATGGACTCTATACTGAGTCCTACATATACATCAGGCAAAGCTCCGTATTAGTTCCGTACTGCTTGCGTATTGGTCGGGCAGGGATACTACACCCTCCCTTCCTACAGATAATCACGCCCTCGTGATTTTCAAAAAATTAATGAGGAGTTACGAACAACAGCGTCAACCGGAAGATGGCAAATTATATCGGAAATGATAACGTTTAGAGTAGACAGAATAAATTAACTGATAACAAATCATAAAGTAGAAGCACACCAGGTTCACACGATCTCACGGGATCAAAAGGGGAAAGAACTGTTCTCCAAATAGGACCTGAAAAACCACAGCACTCTTGCTGCACAACGCTGGCACAACCCGCCAGGAACATCGCAGGTCAAAAACCGAACTGAATACACTATACCTATAAGGGGCGTTGTCACACACATTGTCCCACGTTAGCTGGGTAAGCCGTGGCTCACCATGATCAGACGCCTACCAAACTAAACTGGATTCACACACTCGCATAAAGGAAGACTGAAGAGAACAGGGAGACTGAAGGAAGACAGGAAAGAAAATGCCATACCTGGAATCAGCGTTAGTAACCACGGCGGCGGCTGGAGCTATGGCGGAGGGCAAGCCAGGTTTTATCTTCATCTTGGCTGAGCCGGTCACTCAGAGCGGCTAGCTCGTGGTCGGACAAATGACCTCCCTCCTCGTCTTGAATCATGGTCTTCACATTGTCGATAGCATCGCTTTGCGCGACGTAAAGAGTGATGGTCTAGCCAGGAAGAGTGTTGACGAAAATCTGCATCCCACCACGGAGACGAAGTACCAAGTGAATAGTGGACTCCTGCTGAACGTTGTAGTCACTCAGGGTTCGGCCGTCTGCCAACTGCGTGCGGGCGAAAATCAAACGCTGCCTGTCTTGGGGAATACCCGCCTTGTCTTGGTCAGCAGCCTGCATGTCGTCCTCATCAGCTTCGCCATCACCACCGGTAGTATACATGTAGGTAGCGGGTCGCTTGGAATCGCCATCGGAGTCTCCAGTGGATGCCATGCGGAGGGGAGGGTGATCCACGCTAGCACCCTGACTGTGCTGCAAGCTAATAAGTAGGGCCAAGCCCAGGACGGCAAGAAACATGATTCTCATCTTGATTCGTCGCAGGGAGCTGCAGCGGGTTGAGCCATGGGGGTCTGGGGTCGAATCACGTTGTTTTATTTTACAAAAACACACCGCTGCCACCAATGTAGTGGGTAGCCGAGTGGTAGGCGCGGTGCAATTAACAAGAATTACTTTTATTCTACTTTCAGGTACACACCTGAGATATAATCGTTATTGCAAGAAGAAGCGGCAAAATAAATAACTTTCTCTCCGGTGCTCACCTAGAGGCTGAATCCTTATTCTTCGAGTTAGCTTTCATTGCTATCCAATCTAATCTAATCTTTTCGTCATCAAAACAGAAATGCTCAGCCGCTTTTATGCAGCAGACGCCGTACGCTTACATACGGAGATACACTAAATATACATCAGGCAAAGCTCCGTATTAGTTCCGTACTGCTTGCGTATTGGTCGGGCAGGGATACTACACATGTTCATGTTCATGTACACACACATCCGCCCATGTATAAACATGCACATGATTGTATACGTTTTCGCACACAAACACACAGGCATGCACGCACCTAGTCCCCATTTTTGCCTGCACATTCTTGTGGAGTAATTCTGGGTTAAAAAAAAACTCTAAAAGTTAACACATGTTTCGGTACACGTATCCTAATTCATAACATTGTAGAACGATGAGAAAAGATTTTTTGTTTGAACGTTCTAATATCTCTTTCGTTAAAAAACTTTGAATCGCAATGTTAAGACCTTTGTCAGTTTGTCTCCAAATCCCTTATACATGTACAAATACATAATATTCTACAGTGTTAGTGCAATTAGGAGTATAATCGATGCAGACATGGCCAGCCAACAACGAGTTCATGGAATTTTTAAGGATTTTTATGTTATTCAAAATCGATTTTCGTGTTCCGCTCATCAGTGAATAGTATCGGAACTGAGGGTACTGTGTACAACAATAGAACATTTTATAACAGCATAATTAATTAAAAGTGTGAACAACAAAGGAAGTGCTACAGCATTACATAATAGGTGTCAAACATAGTGCTAACGTATATAACTGAGTGCAGCCACAAAGCAAGAGGTGATACAGTGCAACATGACACAACATTTACATCTGATAACCAGCTACGAGAATAACTTTAGCGCGACTACATGCTTCTTTTGTTTACAAAGAACAGGATTATGCACACGAATACATACAGCTTCCAGAACCTTCAACTGCTTAACATAACTTGCACGGCACAAAACAGAAAAGTGAGAATCATCGTACACA